TTCCTTACGTCAAAAAATTTAACAGCATCCTCCGTCAACTCTATGATTTCTACAATAACAGTGCCGTGCGCACGGCTGGTCTCCATGCAGTCCAAGTAGCTCTGGGTCAGAAGAAACTGAAACCCGTTGAACCTTCATCAACGCGGTGGCTCAGTATCGAACAGTCAGTACTGCGATTGAGGGAAACTTTAATAAGCGTACTTGTCAGCCTAGAAAGAGAGGGCGAGGAGCGCGGAGATGCAAAAGCTCTAGGATTATTTCATTTAATTTCATCGTTCCGCTTCATCGCCACGATGTTATTGCTGTGTGATATTTTACCACACATTTCCAGTCTATGTAAATTGTTTCAGGCTCGGGAGTTCGAACATAGTTCGATTCAACCGCTTGTTAAATCTACGATTACATCAATCCAGCATTTGAAATCCAATGACGGCCAGTATTTCCAGCAGTTGCCGGAAATTATTGCAGAACTGGAGGTCAGCAACATTGCCGTTAAAAAACGAGCCGACGATGACAATTTCATCAACAACCATGTTCGAGTGACGTATATCGACACACTGATCGCCAATGTGGAACGAAGATTCCCTGCTGAAGACGTCGGCACACTCGCTAACTTCAGTATTTTCGACCCTGATCACTTACGCAATTTCAATTCAACATATGGCAATGAAGCAGTGAAATCACTTGTACTTAATTTTTTACAGAAAGCAACCGAACCAGATAAAACAGCAGCGGCCATCAACGAATGGAATAATTTCAAGAATTACGCGCGCGAATCAATCCTGAAGCAAGACGTAAAATCTGATTCGATCATCGAAATTCTCTGCAAGACCACACTCGTCCAAGAAGTATTTCCCACGATCACACAACTGGCGAAAATATACCGAATTCTACCATGCCACACAGCTGACTCTGAGCGCACATTTTCGCAACTAAAACTTGTGAAAACTGTGCCAAGAAATCGCCTCAGCCAAACAAGTTTGGATGGTTTGGTTCGCATCGCGATCGATGGACCACCCATGGAGCATTTCGACTTCGCAAGCACTGTCAAGCGTTGGGCAGAAAAAAAGAACCGGAGAATAAAGTGCTGAATAATAAGATCGTAAAAATAAAGAACATTCCAGGCAGCCATAATTTTTGTTACCTTCTCCAATAATTTGATTTCCCACTGTTTATATTTGTTTGACCTTTCAATAAACATTGCAACAATATTTTGACACTTGTTAATTTGTATCAGTATAGTTAGCCTACAGTGTAGCAATTGTAGATTTTGAAAATCTTTCTATTTGTGTTGCTTCCAAATGTAATGTGTTTAAAATAATTTCTAACTTGCATTATTTCATTATGTATATATTTCTGGTGACATTCAACTTTTGTTTTGTTGGGTGATTCTATTTCGATTTAGTCAATTTGTTCAAATTTATAACACATGCTTTGGTATCTTGGCTGACTTGTATATCATCTTGATCAATTCAAAGGTGTGATAAATAAATAAAACAAAATCAAATAGACATGTTTCTTTTATTATTTGTCTTATTTCTTATTTCATATCTGAAAAAATAAATAACATTTCGAAATGATTCAATATATTTGTGTCTTCTCAAATGCAATACTGGTATTCACAAGCTCATTATTATTCATGAACTCATTAATATTCACGAACTCATTAATATTCATGAGATCATTAATATTCATGAGCGACCAGCACTCTGGTTGGGCTGGTGAGATCCCTGTTTCGTAGAGGAGGGGCATCTTGGGCACTGCATTGTGGCATCCCTACGGAAATGATTAAGCTTTTAGGAGATTGGCAGAGTGACTCATTTAGGAAATATCTGCACCCCTCTCTCCCACTTCGCTTAAAGACCATGGCCCAGTTTGCCTCTCAACTACCACCTACCTAACTACGCATACCGATGTCTTGGGTCCTTTGGGATATAGTCTTTAGTTCTGGTTTGACTTATCATTTACCTGCTTTTAGATTTAGGATGAACACTTAGTTTGTAGAAATAAACTACCCCCTACTGGACCCAAGACACTGTTGTGTACGAGTATTTTGTTTTGTTTGTGAGGGTGTTTTGCTCTGCTCTGGCGTTGCGCCCTCTGGCGGTGAACCATGATTTAAACAGATTAGTACGTCTTTTGTTTCAAATGTTTACCCGCGACACGCATCCAATGAAAAGAACATGGTTCGTTTCCTAACCGTATTTTTTGGTAACCGTGATTTAAATAATTCGTATCAATGTAATGGAAAAGAGACAACATTCTTACAGTCGGACCGGAGAGGAAGTCAGTAGAATACAAAAGATTTTTTCGTTAGCGTGAGGGAAATTTGGTTAGCGTGGGGGAAAACAGAGGTGTTAATCCGAAAATTCATTGTCTTTTCCTGTCTGTGATTGGCCCTGCCAACGTTTGGGAGATCGTGGCGTAGCTCCGACTGCGGGAATGGTCTACATATAATCAAAATCACTTTACCTCGTATTTGATGTTTAGAATTGATGTACTTTGTTGATCTTGACCGAACACACCGGGTTGACGCTTCCGCTGCGGTAGATTTTACAGATTGGGGATTGTCCCAGGGTCAACTTCGCGATGTTGTTCCTGGGTCAACTTCGACAACCACCAATCAGCGTATGCCTTACATTTATTAAGCATTTACCATGATACGTCATTGTTTTCTGCGCTCCTCTCACCAGCAGACGCCGCCACAACGCAGTCACCATTATTCACTCCGCTAGCCTG